TTTTACGGTTGATGCCGCGCGTCGCCTTTGTTTTTGTACTGTAGAATCGAGCAAGCCGTCATAAACCAGTGCTCCGCAAAACCGCTGAAGGCAATGACTGCGGACGAATAACAGCGACTAACATATAATGAAGAGACAAGCTTGCCTCCTTTTCTTCTTGGCACTTCGTGCCTCGCTCGGAAAGCTTCGTTTCCGAATTCGTCGCCCATCGGGCGACTTTTGTTTTCGTTTAATATTTTACCAGGTTTGTAACACGATCTCATGATGGTTTGATAGGTCAAGTTTATAGTCGATTCTACAGTAAATAGAGGCGACTCGTGCGATCGGCTTCGCTTGCCATCACAAATAACTCCTATGCGCCCTGTGCTTCATGTCCAGTAAAGTGTGTAATGAACTTTGATGATTTCAGACTTAATAATATAAACATGCAAAAATTTCAGCACGCTCATTGGCCGAGAGCACGTCAGTTATTCCCAAACAGTGCAAAAAGTTGAAATTTTTTTAGTGCAAAAAGTGGAAATTGAGAGCAGAAAGTGGAATTAAATTGATTGCCAACCTCAGGCGAGTTAAGAGTCTTTCAGGAGGATAATCGACAAACAGACGTAAATCACAAGTCATGTAACCATAGAGCAATTCTGATGATTCATTAATAATAAATCCTAATCCCAGCTCCTGTCCGAAATCCCTTTTCCTACCTTTCCCTCCCCTTTCGACGCCTGCCACGCAGGCCAATAGTAGCTAGAGTAACTATTGGTTCCTCTAATTGCTGGTTTGCACGTGACGTCACGGCGGCCATGTTAATGGTCAAGAACAAAAGCATTTATCTCTTCTGGGAACTAAACTCTATTTTCATGTAAATTCTTCAAGAAAAAAATTCTATTGTAGACTACCAACATGGCTGCCTTGTCACGTGGTTGCAAATCAAGAAAATCGAGTAAAGTAACTCTTCATAAAGATATTTATTAGTGACTCCAGTACAAAGCATATGAATAGTATGGTAACCTTGTAAAGTAGATTCTCTGTTAAATAGTTTTATATTGAGATATAGTTTCTCTAGTATAGAGTATGATTAATAACGATACCATGAAAGGTATACCTACAAATGCAAAGGATGAAAATTAAGTTGCATAGCAACTATATTATATAGTTCTTTTAGTAAACAATAGTAATATTTTTCAGTATTTTACAAGTCAGTAAATAAATAAATAAATAAATAGTGATGAACCCGTGTAATGAATTTTCTTCCTTCCCACGATTCAGTTTTTTGGTTTGATTGTTCTCCGGTTTTCAAATTGGAAAGTATTCTTGTTGGCCTTCTGATAACCGGAGTCGGTAGGCTATTTCACTGGCTTGTTAATCAGGTACTAAAACATCTACAGTGGAACCTCGATATAACGAAGAACCAAGGGACTGGCAAATTTGTTCGCTATAACGAGGTTTCGTTATATCGAGGTTCTTTTTCATCTATATTATTACATTCTGACTGGGGTAACGAAAATCGTACGTTGTACCAAAGACTTCGTTATACAGAGGCTCCACTGTACCTAGATGTGGGTAAACGTAGCGGTTATTTACCTCAAATTGTTTCAAATTCTTTTTCTTGGTAATAGAACTATTATAGTTTAGCTGCTCTGTATAGAGTATAGTCAATTAGAATTGATTTCCAGTGTCGCGTAACTTTTACGTGCGTACGTGCGTAAAATTTACGTTTGCAAATTAAATAGAGGCACTACATGAAACGTCGCGCGTAAGCGTAAAAGTTCCTCGCTCAACTTCTTGTTTAAGCTCAGCTCTTGTTATCTTGCCTCTATTTTATTTACGAAATTAAAATTTACGTGCGTTAACGTGCGTATCCAAAAACGTGTCAGTAGAAATCAACCTTAATAGTTACTTCTTGTAGTGAGTTTGTTAGTGTCCGGCAAGAATAAGAAACTATTAAGCCAGTTTAGGTGAAGTTGTTAAGATGTAGCTAACTAAATTCTGGCAACAGCACGATCCTAACCATGCAAAAGCAAGTGTAATAAATCTAATGACTAGTGAAATCTAACTTTTTGAAACTTTTGAACGCGTCAATTTTGATTTATTCGTATGTTTATATGTGAAGGGCTGGGATTATATGAAAGTTTAATGTATGACGTACAGAAAAATAGGGTTTCATGTTGTGCATGTGTTTTTGAGATAAACGGGTAACCCAAGACTTATCAAAAGACTTAACTGCAGCATAAACAACACTATCCTTTAAACTGACTAACACTATGACATGGAGAGTCACGTTTAACCTGTAAGTTATTATCATACATTACATAGGCTGCTAACGCTTCATCGGGAACATGCCAGGAATGATACTCCAGATCCTTCTTCGCTCGTTAGCTTTCTCCAGTCTCGCGTGTCTGATCGATCGTACAGGCTTGCCTACTTGGCACGACTATATGAGAAAGGACTGCCAGCAGTCTATGCAAGAGCCGAATTTTTCTACGAAACCTTCGTTATCGTTTGAGATCAAGTTTCTTCGGTTTGGCTCATTACTGCTAACGTTGAGCAACATTTTCCCAAGGCTCCTTTCAACTCTTCGTCCTTGACCACACCATCTTTGACAACTCCTTTTAAAGAAAGCAAATTTAAATCCTTTATTTTTGTGATTTACCACAAGTTGTTTTTGTAATTGCCTGTTTATCGATGATCAACAACCATTCATGAAAGATTCCGCCTAGTTTCCATCCCTGAATTAACCCGTATGTCCTCATATCAACTCGCATATTCTTCACACTGGTCTGTATGAATTTCCTGTTACTATTAAGAAGAATTTAGTATTTGATCTCTGGTGGTGACTATCTCTAATAAGATAAAGTTGGAATGGGAAGGAACATTATCAAGCGAAAGAAACGAAACGAAGTACGACTTCTCGCCGTCTAAATTAACCCTTAAAGCCCTACTTTGGACAACCATCTAATTTGTCTTTGTCTGTTCTCTTTCTGTTGTATGAAAAACAGTATATTAAAGAACTGAATACAATGTTCACCTTTACTGTCAAACTCAGAAAACCGTGAACAGCTGAAAAATTTTAAGAATGTTTACTGTATAGTGACGAAATCACAATAAGGGCCTGTTTACATAGAGGTGGGGGACCCCAGGTAGGTGAGGTAACCTGCTTAGGTGGGGTAAAAAAATAACCCTCCTCTACATGCAATCTTACAACCCCGCCATCCCGGGGTGCACTTTCTCAAGATTATTGAATGGTCGCTAAGCACGTTGTTATGAGGATCAGAATTATTTTTAGTTTATCTGTCATGCCATTCCAGACTTTTCTAGAATTATCTTATAATCTGTAATATTCCAGAAATACCTGTAATGTGACTCAGCAGTTTCCACAAATAGAAGATGTTGTAATACACTATAAATAGCAACGGAACGTTCTAGATGCTTAAAGAAAAAGTATAAAAGCAGGCTTCCAAGTAACAGAGGTTGCTGTGTGTGGGAGTGCCCGAGGGCTTTCCCTCGTGGCTAGCTGTGATTGAACTTATCAGCTATGGATGCTATACTGTGAGAAAGCTATAATCAACTGCGATAACTATGGAGGAGCTCTAACCTTTGACATTGCTATATCTGGAGAGAAGAAAGAGACGATAGCAGAAAAGAGAAGAAGATAAAATAGTTCATGATGAAGTTCCCCGTACGAGTTTGTGAATACAGAAAAGCCAATGAGTGGAAAGGATCCAGTGAATCAAGAAAGTCAAGCATTGATGTCTCAAGTCAGTGGAATTGGGAGTTGTTCCTGTATGGCCATGAAAGACAGTAAGCCTGCCTGCTTTACGAACTGCTTAACTTAATCTTTAACCTAAGTAACTATAACAGTGTATAACTAAATAAACAATAGTTAAAAAGGGTAACTGCTCGTTGTCACACTTTTGTTGCGTGCCTTATATTGTATTCGGGAGTTCTTTTCACTTATGCCTCGTTCGCGGACATCTCTTGGTTATTCCAGCACGTAACAACGTAAGCAAGAAAAATGCTGGCAAACCACGATTTTTGGCGATTAATGCACTTCTACACTCTCTTGTTGTTCTTGCTGCAACCTTCAGTACAATGGCTTTCTATTGTTAACTTTAATAATGATGCAAAACCACCGCGAAAGTGAATTTTACGCAAATTTGATGTTATACAAATCAGACCCCGGCTGGGCTGGTTACCCCACCTTAAACCGTTTACATGGCAAAATTTGACCCCGGCTGAGAGGATAACCCGGTCTGGTAGACCGGGCTACCCGCCTTGGCGGGTCACCCCACCTATCATGTAAACGTGATCAAATTAAAATGAGAGATTATATGGACAGGCGGGTTACCCCACCTAAGCGAGTTACCTCACCTACCTGGGGTCCCCCACCTCCATGTAAACAGCCCCTAAAGTTCAGGACACGCCAGCAAACCACAAAACCACAAACTAATTACCGTTGCTGTTTGCGGTTTAGTTTTCTCACGCCTTATTGGCTTTCTCCTCGCAACACAGTAACATTCCATAAATATTTCTGGTGTTCATGGTTTTGTGAGTTTCACAGTAATACTATTGCTTTGTTAATTGTTTCGACAAACAGCTTCTTTACTCAAACACAGTGTTTCCGGCAGTCGCACACCTTTGGATTCTGAAAGCACGTTTGTTGAATTCTTACCAGGTTGTATCATGAACTTATCAGTGTCCGCGTAATGACGTCAATGACATTCAGTTCATCTCACCACCCAGCTTTTAGCCATTGCTTTGTTTTCGGCTTTTTCTTTAAGAGAGGTTCTTCTACGCCTATAATATAAACACGGTTTATCAGCTCTAAGGATTACCTGATGAACAGCAACTGTAAAGGCATACCTTTGGACTGAAAAGGAAGTTAGTAAGCCTGTGCTCCAGTCACAGTAGGATTAAGGTTCCGGATACTTTCAGGGGGTGTCTCACGTGCAAGTGATATAGCGCATTTAGATTCCGACGAAGGTCAATAATTTTTGTTGTACCTTTAGTCATTCTGAAGTGCTGTCTTTTTTCTTCTTGCTTTCATCTGAAGATCCAAGAATGCAAAACTGCCCTGCTAAATCCTTGCGATCAACATATTTATGACACAAGGCCTCGTACAAGACCTTGTAAGTTGCTTCTGACAGACCACGTTTTTCTTTCCACCTACATAACATGAGGTAAGACTTGTCTGCGAGTTCTTTGTTACTATGGTCAAATCCTTGTCTTTCTGCCCGGCTAAATTTCAGGCGCCGCGCAAGTGCACTCCACGATGTCCCAAGCTCCAAAGATAACCCTTCCAAATCATCGTCAGAAACCACGCCATGTTTGATTTCTTAAAGAAGGAACAAACAAAAAACAACCCTTAAAAAGATAACATTTTTCTTTCGAAACTAGCAAAATGGAGGAGTTAAACAAGGTAATTTCTGTTTCCTCTATGAGCAGCAACCGTTCATGAAAGACGTCACTTACGTACAGCAAGTTTTACAGTAAATGAATCAGAAGCTGCATATACGAATGCCTCCCAAGTTACGATAAATCGTAACCCTAACCATAGTAGGTGTATTACTAGACTTAACAACCCATATCATTCTACATCAGCCTCCTCCTCGGGCGCTTCGTTTTTCGCAAGGTAGAGGCGAGCGACTGGTGTTGAGCCGCAAGGGACCATGGGAAGGGTACAGACGGAAGGCGAAGCGCCGTCTGGGTATGAAGCAGATTCTACATACGATTGCGTTAACATGGTAATTCTTCTGTTCAAGTTGTCCCTGCACCTTTTTTTTCAATTTTTCATACTTAATGTGACTCAACTGTGTGGTTATATTATAGTTGTTGTGATAATAATAAGAGGAAGGGTGCTTAAGAATGAAGAAAAGAAGTGTTTATTTCGTGGAGATCGTACCATAAAAAAGGGGAAACCTGTAAGGCTTCAATTTACGCTTATCAGTCGATAAAACTGAAATTGAAGCACCGTCTTAGGCAGGGTACACGGTAAGGCATGGCAACTTTCCTTTAGCCTGCGTAGCAGGCGCTAGTAGGGCAAAGGAAGAAATCTCGAGGACGCGTGAGAGGAGAAAAGGAGAGGAGAAGACCATGGTTTCCCATTTACACCCCCAAAATAACATGACAGTGCTGCATCAACTATCAAAAAATATGATTAAAAGAAGATCGTCTAACGACACGAAACCGACATCAGACTTACCAGGAAGAATAGCCTCATGCACGACCAACAGGATTGCTTAAGTACCGTCCGGACTTTCGTCAACGAGAGATGCAGCCATACTTGTGTGTAGCCATATGGTGATTTTAATGAATTCATAAAAACTGTCCATCGCCGCTTCAGGTTCCCTGTTAGCAGAAGTCTCTCACGATGATGCAAAAATGAGAGAAAGGCATCGTCGTGAGAGACCTCGGCTAGCAGGGAATCATTTCCTACAATTTACTGTGGGAAAACCAGAGTTGACAACCATTTGGCCATTTTCTAAATAACGTTCCCACGAGTTCTTTCTATAGACTGATAGTAATATTTTACTTTTCAGCACGTAAATACATTCAATGTCATTTTTGATTCTTTTAAGTCTCACGCAAACAGATGGATCAATGCCTAACGAATGTCAGCATCAACAGAATGTACCGCAGCATTACTATCTTTTAGATACCCTAGTATATTAGTAAATGAATATCGTAATCTCGCTGGAAAGTCATGCTCTTTTTGACATTTTGATCATTTACTAGTAAGTATTATTATTATACTAGTAAATGAATCTCGCGAAAAGTTGTTTTTGGCCCGCTTGACCATTTATGAGTAAACATAAAGAAAAGCAACGAAAGATCAGTTTCTCAGAACCGCTTGATATGCCACCATTATAAAGTCTCAGTACCTTGGTTTTACAAAACAAAAAAGTTTTGCAACAAGATGCGTACCTTCCTCCAGCTCTGGTGATCTCTGCTTTTTCCTTTTTCGTTTTTCTTTTGGAGTTTCTTCTGCCAGAACAAAATAAAAAAAGATCAGTTTCTAAGAACCGCTTCATGTGCCACAATATAACGTCCCTACCGGGGTTTTACAAAACAAAAAAGGTGCTGCAACAAGGTGCGTACCTTCCTCCAGCTCCGGTGATTTCTGCTTTTTCCTTTTTCGTTTTTCTTTTGGAGTTTCTTCTGCCAGAACAAAATAAAAAAAGATCAGTTTCTAAGAACCGCTTCATGTGCCACAATATAACGTCCCTACCGGGGTTTTACAAAACAAAAAAGGTGCTGCAACAAGGTGCGTACCTTCCTCCAGCTCCGGTGATTTCTGCTTTTTCCTTTTTCGTTTTTCTTTTGAAGTTTCTTCTACGAGAACAAAAAGCAGCGAAAGGTCAATTTCTCAGAAGCGCTTGATATGCCACCATTATATTGTCTCTACCGGGGTTTTACAGAACAAAAAACTTTTACTGTGATGATGACCGCACAGGTTGTCGAAACGTCAGTTACGGTCAACAACAACAGTCCTATTCAGGACAGAAATGACTCTTGGGTTCAAACCTTTAACAAAACAAAAAAAGGTTTTGCAACAGGGTGCGTACCTTCCTCGAGCTCAAGTGATCTCTGCTTTTTCCTTTTTCGTTTTTCTTTTGAAGTTTCTTCTACGAGAACAAAAAGCAGCGAAAGGTCAATTTCTCAGAACCGTGTGATATGCCACCATTATAAAGTCTCAGTACCTTGGTTTTACGAAACAAAAAGGTTCTGCGACAAAGTGCGTACCTTCATGCGACTCCGGTGATTTCTGCTTTTTTCTCTTTCCTTTTTCTTTTGGAGTTTCTACTATGAATTTAAAAAGCAATTAATTTAAAAAGCAATGAAGTATTCGTATTCGAAGTGACTTGAGCAGATGGGGTTGCATTGTAGCTGATGGGGTTTACGAAACAAAAAGGTTCTGCGACAAGGTGCGTACCTTCATCCGACTCAGATGATTTCTGCTTTTTTCTCTTTCCTTTTTCTTTTGGAGTTTCTACTATGAATTCAAAAAGCAATGAAGTATTTAATTTTATGCCAAGTAAATCAGTTTCTAAGAATAGCCCACGTTCGATGTATCAAAATTGTAACATGGCTCCGAGGCTTTAGGAACAAAATTGCAAATTTTTCACGACTGCATTGTCTCGCGGTTCCCAGAAGTAACTGGAGCACAATTAAAACCAAACCAAATACAGAAATATTACCAGAAAGCCTCGAAGTCATGATAGAAAAGTAATACGGTGAAACCTGTATTCAGCGGACAGTAGCCGAAGTCCCCAAATTTATTTCCTTTATTTACTTTAAATGAAACCTTTATTAAGCGGACACCTCTATTTAGCGGACGCGGACACCTAAAAAGTACCTGAAATGGTCATTTCTATTGTTGCCAACCTGTATTAAACGGACACTTGTAATTAAATTCCACCACCCAACACGCCTGACACCGTAAAAGCGAAAGATTGCCTTAAATTGACACCCACAAATTTTTCGATTTTTACATTAAAAAACGTGACTTGACGAACTTATTTGATTAGTTTCACAGTACAGGTTTGTTTTCTATTTCGTTTTGTTTGTATAGAGCTTGTTTCACTCATCTGATTTCTTCAAATTTGAGTTGCAATCCATGTTTATGGCACTATGATCAATTGGTTCACTTGGATAAAGCAATTAATGCAAAAGTCTATCGTTATAAAATCTTCCACTGTTCATTTGAATGGCATTTGACACCTCATATGACGTTATATATCGAAACCTGTATTAGGCGGACACCCTGTATTAAGCGGACACTACAGCATTCCCCGAGGGTGTCCGCTTAATACAGGTTTCNAATGAAACCTTTATTAAGCGGACACCTCTATTTAGCGGACGCGGACACCTAAAAAGTACCTGAAATGGTCATTTCTATTGTTGCCAACCTGTATTAAACGGACACTTGTAATTAAATTCCACCACCCAACACGCCTGACACCGTAAAAGCGAAAGATTGCCTTAAATTGACACCCACAAATTTTTCGATTTTTACATTAAAAAACGTGACTTGACGAACTTATTTGATTAGTTTCACAGTACAGGTTTGTTTTCTATTTCGTTTTGTTTGTATAGAGCTTGTTTCACTCATCTGATTTCTTCAAATTTGAGTTGCAATCCATGTTTATGGCACTATGATCAATTGGTTCACTTGGATAAAGCAATTAATGCAAAAGTCTATCGTTATAAAATCTTCCACTGTTCATTTGAATGGCATTTGACACCTCATATGACGTTATATATCGAAACCTGTATTAGGCGGACACCCTGTATTAAGCGGACACTACAGCATTCCCCGAGGGTGTCCGCTTAATACAGGTTTCACTGTATATCAAACGAGGGCTATTAAGTACTTGATATGCCACCATTATAAAGTCACAAACATCCCGGCCCACTAAAATAATGGGTAGTAAGCGTCGCCGACGACTGAGTGCCGCACCCTCCCAGCAACAATGTGTCATATTATTATTATTTTTTTGACATTGTTGATGCTGATATTATTGATTGGAAGCAGACATATATCGTGAAAACAAACTTTATTTGTTACGTTCTTATGCTTTTCTTCTTGTTTTTGGACAAAATATGGAAATATATAGGTAAGTAACGTCGTAGTTTTTCCGGAAAAATGTTTCAAAATTTCACTCCATGAAAAGGGGGATTATAGGCCTGTGTTGCAGCCGCACCCATCTTCTGGGTCTTCACCGAAACCTGTTTCCATTGTTTATGATCGCTGGTTTATATTACCGGAACAAAAATTGGGGATGTTTGACTAAAACGTATCCACAAATATCAAAGTAGTGAATGTAGCGTACCTTCAGTCATCTTTTTTTTCACCTTTTGTCTTTTCTGTTCTGTTCCTGAAGGTTCTTCTGTAATAAAATTAAAGGAAAAAAAGGATCTTTGATATTGGGTATCACGAGACAAAACAAAGTCTTGTTCTTTTAAAAAGGTATGACAATATATAAAAAGAGTGTTGTGGGTACCTTTTTCCTTCTCCAGTTCTTTCTCCCTTTTTCTTTTCTTTTCTCCTCGCAAAGGTTCTTCAATGAAAAAAACAAAGAATAACAATGATTGAAGTATTCAATTATTGGAACAGCTTTTTCACTCTGTGTTTAGTTATAACTGAAAATAACTCCGCATAACCTTTAACAAATTGGTTGTCAACGTCTACCAAATTAAGGATATGCATCCTTTGTATTTGATTATGATGTTAAGAATATGGCACAGTTACAAAGACAGTTACAAAGATACAAAATCAGGGAATGAGAAACGAAGGAACGGGTAGGCGGAAGATTTGTACCTGTAAGCAAAGAATTCTCCAAGGGGGGAGGGGGGGGGGGGGGTTCCGGCTGGTTTTTGGGGGGGTTTTCAGGGACTTTGGTTGTTACAAAACTACTGGAAATTTCCAAGTTGATGGGGTTTTGTTATAAAGGTTAAAATAGATGAATTTTGAGAATTTTTTTTTAAAAAAAATTATTTTAATTTAAATAAAATAAAAATTGGA